CATTCAAAGAATCGAGTGATACAAGACAGATGTTAGGGGCCAAAGTGGAAAGTCTAAAAGCAACTGTAGCTATATTCAGTGCAGGCCAAGGCAGGAAATAAGCATGGCAAATGGAGTTAGAGGGTTTCTAGAGTCGAGGGAGAGTGGTGTGGTATTGGAATAGCGAGTTGCTTTTAGACTTAACCCAAAATCAAACTTAGGCACAGGTTCTGTGGGTGCTCGCAAATTTTTTTTTAATATGCAAATCAGGTCAGTAATATATAAAGCAGATTACTGTACTTTAAATCAGGCAAGTAAGTAGTGTACAAGGTATTTCCACAAAGCAAAAAAGGAGACGACTTGAAAGCAACAGAAAACAGATATTTTTCAAAAGCAGCAAAGTAGATGATTGATCGATACACAAAACAGATGAAATCTCAAAAAATATCGATTCTCGCCCAAAGGCTGGTACATTGAAGTTTAACAGTAGTTTCTACGGAGAAAGGAAATAAGGTAATAGCTGTAAAGTATAAGCAGGAGAACTGCAAAGTAGAAAAAAAAAAAGAAAAAAAGGCGGTTAAGAGAAAATTTCGGTAAGGTACTCGCGGCTGCTGGGCCTCGAACACGGACCGTTAGACTATCAATCCAGTGCTTTACTACTGTACCATGAGATTCGCCACGTCTCGCTAGTGAAAACTTTCAATAAAAATAGGTAAGGTGCATTTCAAAATGGGTTAGAGGAGTGATCAAAAGAGCGTGTGTCTGAAACAATTTGGAAATAGAGATTTCATCGAGTGCTCCTCATCCTGGTACCTCAAATACAACAAAAAAATCATTCGAGACAAATTTTCCGATCACTTTTTTATCGTGCTTTAAATATTCACCTCTTCACCCGTATATTAGGATGTGTCAGGAGAGCACGGGTGCCTGCTTTCTTGACTTAAAGATTGCGAAGACATATACGTTCGCGGATGGTACAAACCCAAAGTCGAGCTAACTCGCTGTCTGAAGTTGAAATTACGCTGTAAACTTCCACTTTCTCATCATTAAATCTGTCAACTAGAGTTCCCAAATTCAGTTCTCGAGATATATCATCCATAAATTTAATAGATAAAAAATGACCTGTAAGGTTACGGTTTATACGAAGGAGGGAAGAAATTGCTCTTGGCGCGTTATCGGTCTGTACGTCATGTATCGTACATGTTCACTGACCGTAGCCGCTCGCTGACCACGTGATCAATCTCAACGATGGGCTCTGGGGACCAGTCTCACGAATACGATACGAGCATGTGCTTTGGAGTGGTTTAGATGACCAAATATACTGGCTCAGCGAATACCATGTTTCAAAGGCACCGAATATAATGCTCTATGAACCGAATCGCTGAGCACCGAGTAGCAAGTTGTTTGCACCGAGTAGCAAGATGTTCGCGCCAAACCAGATGCTAAACTAACCACAAATCAGGTGCAAACTGACCATGGAAAAATTAAGCACAGAGCATGACAAACTAGCTACCGAATATAAAGAAAGCTGCACCGCTAAAATTGATCTAAGCACCGAGTATAAAGCGGTTAGCAGTGAGTATAATGGCTTTAATTTCACACCAGGTATAATGCGGAAAGTACCAAGTACCTTAGATAAAGAGCCGAGTATAAGGTGACTGGCACCGATTATAGCCACCAGAACACCGAATATCATGATTCAAGCACCGAAAATGATAAGAAAAGCACCGCGGATAAGAAAACAAAATATCATAAGACAGTTATGGCGTTCCATAGACTTTAAGCAAACCACGACGGCTACGGCAACGAGAACGTGTTAAACAATAGATCTAATCGGCAGAACAATAGCCCAGGACGTGCGTTTTAAAACTTTCTACATTTCTTAGCCGTCCTTTGCAAAACAACAACGTGAAATCACCAAAATTTGCGTCGTCTGCGAAGCAAAATCGCGGCGGCAAATTATTGAAATTTACATTTGGAACTCAAAGCTACTTTGATGCGTTATGTTGAGTTTGAGGTCTGGCGCCCAATGAGACGGTAAACTCATGCAGCCATTTTGGAAATTCTAACTAAAAGTAGAAACTCGATTTTTAATCGACGTCTTCCGTGGCGTTGCCGTCCTGACTGTTTAAAGTCCCTATTGTCAAAAAACACCGTCTTGGGAGTTGTGTGTGTAATTCGACCCGACGCGCTTTGGGGAAATTTGTCAAAATGGTGTATATTAGAGGTAAACACTCAGTTGGAGAGAAAAGGGCTTCAAAGTCTGAAAATCGACAACGACAACCGTCCCAACAATGGATATAGAAATATTTTGTCGGATCGTAAGCTAAAATCACTAAGGTAGTTTTTAATTTTTTTCGATCCCTCCATTCTTTACAAATATGCACCTTTGTAGACCTCACACACGAAAGAAACGGACTCAAAATGTCAAAAATCAAGTGATCTTTTTGTACACAGTTGACCGGTAGAACCACACGCGTTGCACAGAAGGTCGCTAAAACAGCGTTAAAAGGACCGTAAACGACAAAGAAGCAACGGAAAAAGGAAAGGAGACTTAATACGATATATTCTTAGCTCTTATTTTCCTCTTTGATCTTTTTCTTAATTTTTTTAATTTTTTCTATTATACAGTTGACTGGTGACACCGCATGCGTTGCAAAGCAAGTCGCCAAAACAGCATAAAAACGAACGTTTGGCAACAAAGTGGCTACGGAAAAAAGGTAAGGAGACTCTTCATCAGTTTTATTCTCCGCTTTTATTATCCTTTTAAATTTTTTGTTATTTTTCTTTTTTTAATAATTTTCCTTTTTTTAACGGCCCTCACGTACTCTTGAAATTTGATCTCAATATGTTAGTTATTGCCGTTAATGAATTTTACGCTTGGGCCGCCTGTGTTACAATTTATATGGAATGATCAGATAAAGGACAAAGGGGAATATGATTGTTAAGTGTCATTTTCCAGTCGTGTCCCTTCTCTGATCAAAGATATACTTCTGAACTGATTTTGGTTGGTAACTTCCTGAACCAATGTAACTGACTATATTTATTACGTATTTTGCAGCTGAATACATAACATTATGCTTGAAATCGAAAACTCGACCGTTTATTTTCACAAATGTTACCATAATCGAACCGGTAAGGGAGGTTTTCTGCGAACAGAGGGTGCACTTTAGCAAGTGAAATTACAAGTTATATGAAATACAACAAAAACTTACCGACCGTTTCGAGCTGAGAGTATCCAATGATAACAATTTACGGTAACAAAAACATGCTAGTACGAATACGACAGTTCTCCTTCGAAGACTACATGGTAGCTTCCCCGTATGTTTACGGGAAAATCTAGGCACGCAATGGGAACTACAATATTTGTGCTCCAGATGTTTTCATGGTTTGAAAATGTTTTGAGCAAAGGACAAATTTGAACCTTAATATTTTAACCCTTTTGATTGGTAATAAAGAAATATCTTGTAACAATTAAAAACATAGTTTTCCTTAGCTAAGCGATAAATCTCTTTGGAAGAACGATACTTCGCGAGGAGCTCAAAAATATATCGGCGATATATTACGGCTGTTGGAACAATTGCCCTGCGATATAGCGTTCCAACTGACATTTCGCTCAAATATCGCCCATATATCGCGATAATCGACGGTTATATATATCTTATTAACCAAGCGCGAGGGCCGTACTGGGAGAATATCGGCCCGAGGTCTTGACAGTACGGACCGAGCGCCGATATTCTTCCAGTACGGTCCCGAGCAAGCTTGGTTAATAAGAGATTTAGCTTGGTTAATAAGAGATTTATTATACGACTGAAGTTCAAAGGGACACAGGTAAGGTATCGGGACCATTCGGGACAGTGCCCGGTCCAATACTGGAGAATATTGGACCGGCAATAGGGCATTTTGATTGGTTGATTTTAGTTATTGGCCCTCTGACTGCCCGAGTCGTGTAATAAAACGTGGTTATAGTTTGCATTACTTTTGCACACTTCTGTAGATTCAATCCAAGTATTGCACCAGTTCTGTTGGCCGTACCAAAGTAGATAGGGGTCCGAGATAAAATCAACCCGAGGACAATATGGGCGAAAAGATTAGGAAATCCGGATAATTTTTTTTTTAGTATGTGCCACGAAACAGCCAATTTTCGTTATAGACTTTGGACCTTTTGGACTGCTGATGGTCGCTGATGGTCTTCACAAAAAAAGACACGTGTGTAAAATTAAATCCTGAGTACAAGAATTGATTACAAAAGATTTCCGGTTTCACTCTCATCTCTCTATTGAAAAAGAATGACTTTTCCCTATGATTGCTTAACATGACACAGCTTCGTCTCCCCTTCGCTTTGTCACTCGTCCCAAATCTTCCACCACTTCACTTGGATGTTTTTTGCTCCTTTTCCTTACAATACTATTGGTAAAATGATCTTGAAGATGGAGATTTTTTTAAGTAATTATTTGTACATTTTGAATTTTAGGTACCACAAGAAAGTTGTATCAATACTGCGACGGCTATTCTTGTTAATGAGGCATTCGGTCACGCGAGATATGCTCTGAGTATCATTATATTCTACGTACAGTCTTTGCCAAGCTAGGCTTTCTGCTAAGATGCAGCGGGCGAAAAAGTGGCGGGAATTTAGCTGTTTTCCATGACAACCGCCAAGCATCGTTCGACCAAGCATCTATAAAAGCTAAATCGCTGTGACAGTTGCCTGGCAGCTAAGCTGGCGTAAGGTAAATGTGATACCCTGCACGACATTGAACGTCATTCGTCTTTTCGTCTGGGTTTCCCTCCAAACATGGCTGCGGTTAATATTACTTCGCCCCTTACCAAAATTGGATTAACAAGGTTTGGAGGAATATTTCTCCTGCTGATTCTTCATTTTCAGTTTGTCGGTGAGCTCAAATCTTTCAATACTTTGTTTATCACTTAACACAATTTTCGTATCTGTAAGTGTTTGTGATGCAGGATCCTTTGGCCTTGATATGTTAAACATTCAACGCGGGGATCATGCTACCAACAACGTCTTAGGCGTATAGCTGTTGATAAGGCGAAAAAACAGGCAATTCTGTTGCTTGTGCAGTTTACTCTTACAAGGGATCTTGAATATTCGTAGACCAAATGTACTTGCGATTCATAGTTTCCCGTTAAGTAAGCGGAGATAGATTCCGTCGAGGCTTTGTATATGCCTTAATGCAAGGTCCAATATATTTATTACAACTTGAATTGTTTAAAGCCGAAGAAAATTTTCTCACTTTTAAAACGCTTTTTCCATTAATGATATGATCGTTAAGTCGTAAAGGCTGGTTTCATGTTTATGTTATCGGATTTCACCCGTGAAAGTCATGTTTTTGTGGAGTTGAAATATAACACAAACATACTGGGAGATAATCTGTTTTATTTAACGGAATAAGGAAACCGAGAAAACCAAAGCAGTAGGAGGTAGGAGCCGTGGACTTTGGTAATGCTTGGCGTCCGCATTTGCAAGTGCTTTTCAACCGAATAATCGATGATTCGAAATGACAACAATTTCACGAAACATTTCAGGTTTCGTTGTGCAAATTATAATGCCATCTGTGTATGTATACATTAATTTAGGCGAAGATAAGCGCATACAAGTCATGTATTCTTAAATTGTGCGACCAAGATATGACACAATCCGCTGTCTGTATGGATCAATACAAAATAAAAGAAGGAAAAGCAATGATTTCACACATTAGCGTGTTAAGTCTTGCGTGACTGGCGTTGTGTTACACGTGATTGTTGTCATGCTTTTAGCTTCAACACGACATAGTTTCCATGATCTGTCAGTCTTCTTGTCGCCTATTGGGCGAATTGTTATCGTGCTCAAGATGATATGTACTCTTAATGGCATCGCACGCGATTTTGAAAGACAGAGAATAATGTTTGCTGACGCTTTCACGTTTTTTAAATGTTTATTTATGTTGTGGTTCTGCTTTCAATTAGTGTTTAATTGTTGCCATAAATAGAGGAAAGCTTAAATATCAACCACAGCTTTTCTGTGCTCAGCACTGCAAATACTAAATGAGCCTAAAATATTTTTTTTTTCCGTGTTACGAAGAAGAAAATTGATTACGTAACGCACTCTATTTTCTAGCGAGTACCATGCACTCGCCTAAGGGAAGATTCAAGTCGGAAATGGTTCATTGGCTTTTAAGAGCTTGACAACAATGTGTTGATAACGGCTTCAGATTATTGTTTGAGGTTTCCTACTTAATTGGAGATGTAAACTTTGCAATTATTTCTTAGCATCATTGTGGTCGACGTACAATTTACAATTTAGTTCTCCCACATCTTAACGTCGACCACATTGTTGTCCGGAGCGATTATTGTGGCACTTTCTCACAAAAGTGGAATGGGAAGACATTTCGCCGCCAGCAATGTTTTAATGTGTCTGCCGTTATTGTTTAGTTTGAAAAGATCCGAAGCTGTTCTTAATCACACTGATAAGAACTTCATAAAGGCACAAGGAACTGAATTGCTCTTTGTACTCTTTATAAAACAAGACGCTGTCTATGTAAAAAGTGTTCCTTCTTTCGAATTTTCAGAGCCGCAATGAAATTTTTATGAACTTTTGTTGGCTTCTTCGACGGCCTAAGGGCGAAAGACCATACAGAATACTGAGTGCTCAGAATTTCAGCCTTAATGTCTTTATTTCAACTCAGAGATGTATCAATTTATGCAACGTCACTCTTTAAGTGTGCCTAATCAAAGAAAACCGGCTATTTTAATTTTCTGTTTATAAAAGACTCTTTGTCATTATCTAAGTGTTCTAGAGTCGACTGGTTGCCCCTCAATCGACACACCTTACAGACTAAGATAATCGCACGCGATAAACGTCGAATAACTTGCTTACATTACTCCAGCCGTAACTCTTCAGTTTGAGACAAGTTGAATTCGATGTCGTCACTGTTATTTGTAAAGCAAAGTTTCAATTATATCACACTTGTAAGAAAAAAAAAAAAAAGCCCAGAAAACAACAAAATCGCCAACCGAATCATTCTTCTGTTTAATAAAACTATCGTTGTCACGAACGAGAAGCCGTTTGATTTTGTTTTGATCTTAAAAGTGCAAAATGAGTCCTTGCTGATAAAAAATTTTTACTAAGTGTTTTTCTTATCAACTCCTGTCCATCTTCCAACATTCTTTCAGTAACGGCATTATATTTCTCTTCTTGCGATACCTTTTTTTAAAGTCAATAATTTAAATTTGGGGATTTTTTTAAATTATTTAAAATGAAATAAGTTGCCGAACAGGCAAAACATCTCATATTAGTGTGGGTCTTGTGGTGAGAAGTTAAATTAAATATAGTTCTCAAAATGGAAAATAAAATTATGGTCATGCAGTGATGTTACGTAACATCATAAAAATGTCTGGTGTACTTTGGAAAACAAAAGGAAGACAATTGATAGTTCAATAAATTCAGCACCCCTTCGTGAAACAAGACTCATAGAAACCAAAATAAAACATTCTAGAAATCTCATGAACGATTAGTTTAGCATGAGTAACAAGAAGTGACTGAATTTTTGCAAAACATAATGATTTAATATTGTTCAGTGTAAGTCCAATCTTGAAACAATAATTTCTTATGTGATTTTCTTGAGTGAATGAACCGTTATATTTTTCGGAATGTTCTCACTGTAATTGTCAATTAAATCGACCTTTGCTGTTCATGCAGCTGAAACAGTTAAAACGAGTGTTTAGAGGGAAAAGAAAGGATGACTTTGGCACTGAGATATTCATAGGCAATTCTTAATGTATCTGTCAGCTTGGCTAGCATAGCGCTGGGATGTCCTCTGGCTACTTTGCACCCTTAAACCTCCAGGAGTGACCAAGAAAGAATTTCTCCTTACAATATCAATACAATATCAAGCTGACAAGTGACGAGAATACAGTAAAATATCAATTAGGACATTTTTAAGTAATTGATCCAATACCAAATTCTCCGAACTGACTTTGCAAGAATGATAATTGTATTGCAGACAGTAAGAACGATTCAGAACGAATAAGAGTGGGAATGAAATGTTTGATTAGGAGGGTAACCCCCTAAGCAAGGTAACCGTTACCCTTCACCGTACAGTGAATTACCAATTTCTTACTTGAAAATGTTGTAGCTACTACAGTGCTATGGACAAAACCAGCCCCAAGTTGGAGCCAAAGGGATTCAAATATCATTAGAACAGTTGATATTAACGTGTTGGAGGGCAGCACCAAGGTTCACCTGAGCTGGAATTACGCCCTGTTAGATGGCTCAGATCTAAGGACAACAACTTTTTCCATTAACGATGGTACTGGTTGGAATGATATTGGAGTTATATACCATTCTGACAATAGCACTACGATATATGACAGAAATAATTACAAGACAAGATTTAATATCAGCGAAGGTGATGTCGCCACCCTGATATTGCAAAACGTGACTGAAAATGAACGAGCGATTTTCCAATGCAAGCTCTCCACGCTAAGAAACTATTGGACCTACAGGATTCACGTGAATTTTACAAGTAAGTATCAGTTAGGCAATTTTGTGTAAAACTCCAGTCTTGTGCGTCAGTTCATCGTTCTCGTTACTTTTGTTTACTTTCCATTTTATAGCCTTCGTTTCATAAAAGGCAATTTTATTTCTCATAAGTTTTATAATAGCCATCCACAACTATGGCCTTTTGACAAAAATTGATGAAGTGGAACCTCGATTTAAAGAACCTCTGTATAACGAAGTCCTCGGTATAACGAACGATACTTCAGTTTCAGCCCGGCTAAAGTTACAGTAAAATGTATGCCACAGAACCTCGATATAGCGTACCTAATATGACGAACCAATTTCACAAGTCCCTGGGACTTCGTTAAGTCGAGGCTTCACCGTATCCACTTGTGTTATCTGGACTTCACCTCTGTGCTCAACTAGTCCTAACTTAATAAAGGGTGAAAGTTTCTAAAGAAACTGTGATGCTGCTTCGGTGGGGGTAACAGGGTAATTTGGTACATCAACTAAGTTGAAATTGTGAATTGGCCACCCACCGTAAAGAGTTGAAAAACTGACGTTGCGAGCGTTAGCCCTTTGTCAGAGCGAGTGGAGGAATTGTGAGTTGTGTGTGGGTTTATATGCAGAAAGTGGAGCTACGCTATTGGTGGAAGCATGGCGAGGAGAAAAAACACGAATAAATTATTAGAATGAAAAGCATTCGTTGATACCTATAGGATTAAGAGTGCCGATTTGAAAGGTAAACTTTTGTTTAAGAGTTTTGCAGCTTTCTGAGCTACCTAAACGCAAGGAAAGACCGCAGTTTACCATATGTTGCTTAGAATGATTAGGTAAATTAAAGATTCTAGCGACTGGTTTTGATGCGTCCTTCTCATTCCTTTTTGCGTCGTGAAGGTGTTCTCGGAATCGTTCACCTAGTCGTCTTCCTTTTTCGCCGATGTATATCTTTTTGCAATAAGTGCAAGTTATGCAATAGATGACGTTGACGGAGGTGCACGTGAAGTGATCAGTGATCTTGATGGATCGTTTGAGTCTCGATATTTTCTCAGCGTTGTGAATGAAAGGACAAGTTTTGCACGAGCGCATTTAAAAGTACCGGGTTGGTCATTAGTTTGGAATGAAGAAATTGCCTATGTTTTTGTCGCGTTTGAATGAAATGAGTAGAGGTTACGAAAAGATAGTGCCAGTCTCTAGAACGTTTTGAAGTAATTTAAAGTTTTAAAGAATAATGTATTTAACTGAGTGGTTGTGAGGGAGAAACGTGAGAGTGAATGGAATGTGGTCGGAATTTTCCTTCTGTGACGTTTGTAGTGCTGACTGTTGATCAATAAGTTGGGCGCGGTAGTGACCCGCTTGAACGACAGGCACATTGACTCTGAGTTGTGGAAAAAAATCAGATTCATCACTATATAAACGACGAGGTCTTAGAAACTGAGAAAAGGGATGAATGGAATTCTTAACATGAGATGGATGCGAAGATGAATATAACAAGTAACTATGTGAGTCTGTTGGTTTGTAATACACATTAGTACATAAACCGTTACCTTCAATTGAAACTTTGACGTCTAAAAAGAATAAAGAATTCTCGGAAATCTCCCCGGTATATTTTAGAGCCGGGTGAAAGGAATTGACTGCGGTTATGAATTGAGCTAGCTCCTCTCTGGTAGAGGAGGTAGCGCCGATACAGTCGTCGATGTAGCGACCGTAGAGTTCAGGTTTGGGGCCATTGCATTGGCTAAAAAATTAGTGTTCGACAAAACCTACAAAAAGATTGGCATTGCCAGGTCCCATTTTGGTACCCGTGGCTACGCTATGGGTTTGTTTGAAAATGTTGTCCCCGAATGAAAAACAATTAAGTGTGAGCACTAGTTCAGCGAAGCGAAGTAGTTTTTCAGATTGATAATAATAATAAATAATAATAATATCGGTTTATTCACATTATATCCACATGAAAGGTGTGGCTCTTTATCTGTGAAGGCCTACGATACTAATATTTGATATTAAAACTAAATTGTAACTACTAACTAAATTGTAATAAAAACTATACGTGAAAGTAAATATGTAGAATGTATTGGTTAGTGGTGATGGTTGGTTGTTTCTGTCTTTACAAGGAAGACAAAGCGCGCGCCTTTAAGAACGCCTTGCAGGGCCTGAAGTATTCTTTGAAATCTTTGCAATTCCTTATATTTGCTGGCAATTCATTAAAAATCATGGCTGCTGAATGCTGAAAGGTTCCTTGTACAAATGGAACATAAAGCCTTGAAGCAACACTGGAACGGAGATGCCTAACGGGTTTAACAACTTGCAAATGTAAATGGGAGGGCCAGTTATCAGAATACAGTGCTTTAAAAATAGTCTTTCGTAGGGAGTAGTCCCTTAGCTCTAGGATAGGTAGCCAGCCAAGATCCAAAATGTTAGATATACTGTTTACATATTAACAAGTGACGAAAGTAGCCATAGCGAACTGGAGCCTTTGTAGTTTAGCTGAGAAGAACTTTGGTAGTGGATAAAAAAACAATGTCATAGTAGCTTATTTTAGACAGAATTAATGTTTTTACCAAATGTTTCCGTAGTTTAAAATTAGTAAAGTTCCTTATTTTTCTTAAGGTTCTCAGAGTCGCATAACAAGATTTAAGTATAGAACTGATATGAAATTCCCATTTACGATTCGAGTCAATGTGTACTTCTAGGAGTTTTGTAACATTTATACGTTCCAGTGGTCTACCAGAGATTACTAATCCCAACTCCAGATTTCCGAGAGAATGTACATGAGCCATCTGTGGAGTTGAGATAAGAATGGCCCTGGTTTTCTTAGAATTCAGGGCCAAGTTTGAATCATTTGACCAGACGCCGAGGCCTTCCAGGGCTGCATTCATGCTTTCCGCTTGAGATATGATCTGCGGTGTAGATTTTGGTTCCTTAACAGTGCGTTGATCAAAAAAATGTTTGAGAGCCAGGAAACCTTCGCCATTAGGAATGACAGTATAAAGAGATATAATGTTCATGGTGAAAAGATGTTTGTCTTTGCCAAGGAAATTAAAGTCGCGAAAAATTTGTAGAGCGTGTTGGCTGTCTTTGATATATGATGGTAAAGTTTTGACGATGGGAGCCATAATTTTGTCTGAATAGCTGGAAATAAGTTCGGTAGGGTAGCTGAAAATTCTCAGTTCAACAAAACGTAGGAAACTGATTTCCAGCTATTTAGACAAAATTATCACTTCACGTGCACCTCCGCCAACGTCATCATGTATTGCATAACTTGCCCTTATTGCATAAAGAAATAATGCATCAGCGAAACAGGAAGACGACTAGGCGACCGATTCTGAAAACACCCTCGCGACGAAGAAAGGAATGACAAGGACGCATCAAAACCAGTCGCTAGACACTTTATATTACCTAATTATTCTAAGCAACAAATGGCAATCTGCGGCCTTTCCTTACACTTAGGTAGCTCGGAAAGCTGCAGAACTGTTGAACAAAAGTTTATCTTTCAAATCGGCACTCCTAATCCCATAGGTATCAACGAACGCTTTTCCATTCTACTAATTTATTCATGTTTTTCTGGTCGCCATGTTTCCACCAATAGCGTAGCTTCACTTTCTGTATACAAACCCACACACAACCCACAATTCCTCATTCGTTCTGACGAAGAGCTAACGCTCGAAACGTCAGCTTTTTAACTCGTTATGGTGACCAATTTACTATTTGAACTTAGTTAATATACCAAATTACCTAGTCTAAGTTATATTGCCACTATGGCCCAACCTTTAAACCCAGTATCGAACTTTGGAAGGATTCGCCATTTTGCATCTTCAGTCAAGACCCTTTTAACTCAAAGTGGCTGGGTAGCCTCAAAAAAATGTCGTGGGGTCGAGTGATCAGCAAGCTCCGGTTATAGCAGGCATAGCTGTTCGCCTAGTGGGGAGAGTTAACTGAGAAAGTGCCTTGATTCTCTATCCAAAACAACATAAACCAAAAACCAGCTTTAGGACTTTTCTCATAACCGCGCTGGTTAGGAAATGGTCATTATCTCAATTCCTGTAGAGTCAGCGAGTTTTGATTAGGAGTGTGTGTCACTTTAAAAGCAGAGCCATTTACAATCACCGATTGAAGGTGTACGGGTCAGACGAATTAATTTAGAATTGACGATTTTGGTTTACTTTTTGGTCAGAGCGCCATCTGAACTGGGTGGAACGATCGTTGTCGGTTGTTGGTGTTGAACAGCACAACATCACCTTTCAGTGGACTTATATGAAAACACTTGGCATATCTTCAACGTTTCGAGAGGCAAAACTCATTGATCTTAGTCGCGGAGAAACAACCATTTTAGAGAAAGCGGTGACCACTGCGCCACATGTAAATGAAGCGTACAGACCTCGGTTTCACGTGGATTATATACAAGATACTAAAGCGTCCATAACCATTGTTGGTCTACAAAGATCAGACAGGGGAAGATATAGATTTGATGTTAAAACCCACAGGAAGGACATCGACCAACTTAACACGCTCTCCAGTATCATGGAACTCTCAGTGCAGTGTAAGTAATGCCACAAACAAAAGCTGTGTCTGTTCTTGTAAAAGGTAGCTTATATCTCTAGAACCATGGTGTTTTTTTCTTGTTTCCTTGTATAATGCTCATCCCAACCACTGTACATACCTTACAACTTCAGAGGGACAGATTGTCAGTATTTTGATCATCGTTATCATTTTTTCTTTATCACCATCGTAATCGTAATTGTTGTCGTTTTGTCGTCATTGTCACTATCCTCAACATTCTTTCGCTGTTTCAGACAAAAGCCATTTAGGTTGTTTCGCCTTCAATTCTCTTTTGCATCCCTTATGTTTTGGTGAATTCTTTGTCTTCCTCCTACAAAAAGATGAGAACTTTAACATTCAAGTTGATACTTGACGCTTTTACACTATGACTTAAGGATCATTGCATTTATAAGTAGCTTTTGCCAGACACATATAACTTTCTCTTGTGGTGTTTTTTCATTTCTTTTGTTAAATTAGCGCGGTTGCAACTTGTAAAACAATGCGTGGATTTGACTTTCACAATAGGTTACACGTTCTCTCTATACTTTTCCCACTCAGTTAAATGTGTTATTTTTAGATGCGGCGAACTCGACCAATGTTAGCGACCACCAAACTTTGCAAGAAGGATCCTACCTTCAACTATTCTGTCAAGCCTCTGGCAATCCAACCCCAAATATAACATGGACCAAAGTGCTTGAAAACAGTAACGATAGTAGAGTGCTGCATCAAGGAACCAACTGGAATTTAACAAAAATTAACAGAACTTTTTCAGGAATATACAACTGTACAGCTGACAATGGAATTGGAAATCCCATGTGGCGTCTAATAAAAGTCAATGTTACCTGTAAGTGTATAATACCTTGTCACCGCTATATATGGCACCGAGAATTTTAATTTCCACTGTATTTTTCCATCTCCCAAAACGACTGGTAAAGAAAAGTATCCCTAGGTTCACGCTCCAGAAGTATGAGTGATATATATGTTTGAGAGTGTATTTCAAAAACCTTCTGATTTGAGTCTAACCTCAAACTGTATTTCAGAATTTTGTTTAAACTTGGGGAAATTAGTTTGTTACGTTGAAAAGTCAATCGGGTGAAAGAAATTTTTTAAAGAACTCTTGTTAGCGTCCAGGACCGACGTTTTGACCTGGATAGAAAGCATCATTAGCGTAACTGAAAAAGTTGCGTAACATGCTAAAGCTACGAGCAATGTTTAAGACAAGTTCGGTAAAGTTGGCAATACTTCCCAGCAGCAGACGCCGGCTGCAAAAGGTTATTTTTAATCCTCTCTGTTTTTTTTTATCACTTAGATCCTACTAAAGTTGTTAAGCTTTTTAGTGAACATCAAGTTGCAGTACAGGGAAGTGTATCTCTTCACTGCGAAGCCGATGGAAATCCTCGGCCTGTTTACACGTGGTCTCCATGTGATCCACAGACCCAAGCATGCCACGAGAGCTCACTAAATATTTCCAACGTTCTCAATGAGGCTGTATACTCCTGCAATGTGGCAAATATTTTGGGTAATGATACAAAAAAGACCAAAGTTGGTAGGTTGAATTTAATGATGCTAACTTGGAGCTTTTCATAGCTTCTTTCGTTTCGACAATTTAAGAACAACTTGATTGGTTTCCTTTTGTATAACTATGACCACTGTACGCAACTTGCCCTTACATGAACTTAAACCTGTTCTTCACATGCAAATAATAACCAACAGTTAAGGAAACTTGAATTATTCCAGACGAAGCATTACCAAAGTATGATGAAATATGTAAGAGTTCACTGAATCACTGTTAGTCATATCTTCCTTTGTGGAAACCTATAAGTCATCATGCTAACCATACCGTGCTGACGAAGCCATGGAAGGCTGCTCAATCTTTCCCGATGTTTTCTGTGAAGACGACCTCGTGAGACTTCTATTGTCGCCCCAGTGATGTCTCTCGTGAAATATCGCAATTTTAGACTAATTTTGCTGGTTTGGTTTTCTTAAACAGTCATAGCGGGCACTGTGATAAATGTGACACTTTTCATCAGTGAACAGTGTCCTCAAGAAACTTTATCTGAGTCCGCGTTGTGGAAGAACCTGAAACAAAAGGTAATTATTGTACCAGGTACGCATGAGACGCAACCATACACGCGAATGAATTTATTTCATCGTCAGAATTGTGCTTCTTAAGTGTCGATACACACATGGGATGCGCACTGTATAATTTTCCTTTCGTGTCTTGTAGATAGAAGACCTATTAACAGATGAAGGACACACAAGCACAGAATTAACAAATTACAGGTATGGACGCTAAACGAATTATTAGCTGGGTAAACTGTTCTGCATGTTTCTTGAAGAAAGGTGTTGATGGGAACTTACTGTGACTACAATGACTAGCATTCCATGCCCTACTCTCTAGAATAGGTGTGCCATTTATTTAAGTCCCCTCAGTCCTGGACATATTACAAAGAAGATACGAGAGACTGGGCCTAAGACCTAAAGTCATTACTCTGAAAAACTAGAACGTCTCAGGATTTACGGCTGGTCTCACAGGTAGACAAACTGTTTGAAATTGTTGTTTTTGTACTAACCCGCCTAGGTGTGGTAGTGTAATTGTTGATTTGGCTTTGGAGTTCAATTCCTCTGTGAAAGAAGAGAAGGTACTTTCAATGCTAAAAGATTCGGCAGAGAATGGAGGACTGAAAGACTTGGGGGTGAAAGCTTCCGAAATAGTAGGTTGGCGACCTGGAAGGCCAACTGAAGCACCTAAAAGCTCAACACAAAGCATTAAAAGTACAGAGAGTAGTACATGTAAGTACCAATGAAAAGCAAGTGTATGACCAGGACTAGTCCTGGACAACAGTTACTGCTGTAAGTTTACGTTATTCCTGACTTTTCACATTTATGTGGTAAGATGGAAATTTTTTAATCACTCTTTAGAATTGATAACGTACAATTACAAATAAATCGATGCTATGGTTATTCGGAGGAGAGCCATCGATTTTTTGGCAATGCAAGCTCCTGACAATTGGCCAGGTTATTGTGAAGTGTAGCCAAGAATATCGATAAAAAGACTGCAGGATGTACGATTTTTTTCTGCCAGTTATTTTTATGGCAAAATAGAAAGCACGACAAACAGCCATTTAACGCCTTGACTAGTTGACTTCTATCAGCATTTTGATTTGCTTGACTTATGAAGACAAATTCGTTAACAGTTAATCAAAGCTTGTGTATGTATTAAATCGACAAAGGGCACTTTAATAGGAGTCATTTCATTTTTTCTTGCCTCCTTTCCTCAGTATCTGCTACACCTTCCGAATACCCTGCTCAGACGGAAGGTGACGATGGTCTTAAGGATTGGATGATTGCTGTTATTGGCGCTGTTTCCGGTCTTGTCCTCCTTTTCATCGTTATTTTCTTACTTTGTTGGATCAACAAGACTCATAAAAAGAAGAATAGCTCTGGAGGTAAAAAAATGTCAAGTTCTAATATCCCCTTTTATATAACACTGACACACCGTGAACTTCATGTCGAATGTCTTCAGTTCTTTTATGAATGTTAAACGATGTAACCTAGCTAAATCTGATAATAGGGATGGGTCTCATGTCATGTCATGTCAACAAATACTGATGTATTTATTTTTGCTCTCTATTAAGTTGCAAACGTTGACATGTCGACGACATCAAGGTAAATTTTCTTTTTTGTTTCTATTGCGATACTTTTCATACGAAACAGCGCTTTTAAATCTACTCAGGTTTTTTACAGATGAAGTGAAATTGGTTGCAGTATCTGATCGATCAGTTTGATCGATTCTTAAGACATGCACCAAATCGCGGTAACTACATCGCTCTTGTCACAAACAACTGCTGCTGTAACTGTCGCTTCTTATTTGAGTAAAAAATGATTACATTTGTGTAACTCTTAATTAGTGATCAAACATTAAACAGATCGCTAAGAGATGGAAAGTATGTCCGGGTCGCAGGGCTAGAGTGAAATTTGCGGCATTAGATGGGTATTTTTCCAAATTTTCGTAGGCAAATTTCATTAGGTTAGGAGGATTACACCGATAAATATGCGCTTTAGGCTATGTTAGTATCATGGTGATTTACTTTCTACAAATTGACATTGGCGGTATGCAATGTTGGATATCAATCATTGTGGATATTTGATACTGTAGAAAGCCTTTTGGTTGGAATCAAACATTCTCGAGGTTTTGTGATTGGACGTTTTTTCCTTTTTAGTTATGTAAAGAGTGGCCCCCATCATTCCGATAAGCCTTACTACAGCAGGGAATCTATTGAAGATGATCCATTCATTGCTGCGTCCACTTATTCCCTGAATTCAGTCGATAGAAGAGACCGGGAGAGAGATTCTAGCGTCAACTATGGATACCAACCAGACGGTAGAGAACTTAGACTTTCAGCAAATACTCTTGCTCTTTGTGATGCCTTGTTCAGCTAACCATAGAGGATTTTCTTGATGATGTTATTTGTGGCTGTAATTGACGTAAAATGTTTTCACAGGAGCATGAATCAGATTGCAGTCATGTTTTATTCCGCTTTCCGAGATGTGAAGCGAGTTTGGCTAGTTTGCTTGTTTCTGTAAATGAGATGTTAACTCACTGAAGTTATCCCCACCTTCTGACCTTCCCTACGTCCAATACTTCGTCAGGTTTGCGTGCCTATTCACGGGCTGTTCAGTAGTGCTCATGTACACAACTACTTTAAGAGGGGTGCTGCATGAAAAACGTTCCGTAGCTTAGAATTCAACACAGTTACCCAGACCATACTTTTAACTCGAACCAGTTGATCCGGTTTCCAATATTCTAAGGGTTTTTTCACCCCTTTTCTTGCCTGCCTAATGTGAACCAAAATTGGTCCGCCTGATCAAGCTTATGAAGTCTCTTCACCAACTCTCTCGTAAACACAGAAATCCGGTTGATGCTAATTATCAAATCCAGCAAGCAGCTAAAATTTATGTTTTTATTTATATATGTACTTTTTATCTTTTTCAGATTCTGATCAGCCACCAGGTGAAATGCTGCTAAAATCAGGCACCCGCCTCCCCAAGAATGACCGTCTCACTCAAAGTGCCGGGGAGCTTGATGTGACCTCCACATATTTAGCTAAGGGACCACAGCGAGATTGCAGTACACTTCCCTCTCACCACAGACCACCCTCTTATGAGGAAGCTTCGAAACAGAAAGATAGAATAATGATGACAGAACCAAGGCCAAGTAGATCCACAGGCGGCAGGCAGAGGCAACGGCAAAGGCCTTCGGAAGACAGGTCCCATTATCACCATTTACTACATTCATGGGCTTTTTATAAGTACCACCATTCATGCAACTCTCCCATCCAAAACCACTCTATTTTATTGCGACATAATAAGTGGCGCTGTTCCTCCATGCTGTGCTGTTTAGTGCTTTGTTATACTTTGCTCTGTTGTGTTGTGCCCAGCTGAGCTGTGTTGTGCGGTGTCGCGCATTCTTGTGCTTTGCTCCGTTGGGCTGTGGTAGGCTTTACCAGTGTAAGCCAACCTTTTTTACACCGAGACGCCCATTAATCTCTCATCACACCTTTCCACTGGCCTTCTCTCTTTTTCCTTCACAGACTTTAGGACAACATCTAACATTTCTGAGAATCTTTTATGTGCATGTTGAATTGTGATTATTATATTTTACACAGGGCGGGAGAAGCTAGTGTAGCACCAAGTGAAGTGAGGCCCAATCAAGATGAACATAGAGATACCAAAAAGAAAGGACCGCTTGATCCCACGGCAATTTATGCAGTTCCAGACAAGAAAAAGAAATTTAGTCAACAAAGTCCTGAATCCCACGGAGCGGCTCTAGGTAAGATAAATTGAAAACAAAAAAAGTATTGAGATTAAATTGAAAATTAAATATCGTAGTAGCGCTGCTAGCATGGCTTTCAATTCAAAGGTGTAAGGTCTTCTTATATGCATTAAAAATTTTACTTAGCTTGATTTCATTTACTTTAACATTCTTTTTTCTTGGGTAATATTACTTAAACATTTTCCTTAAGGAACTCAAGATGTTCTCATGTTGATTGCGAAATCGGATTCAAGATCTTTTCCACAATATTGTATTTCTTGGCTAGACCCATCCCAAGCGAATCCTACGAAGAAAGAACCAACCAAAGGACCAATTCTACAAAATCCTGGAAATTTGGACCTGGATGATTCCTCTTGTGTATGTTCAAGTGAGGGGCCAAGAAACTTAATTATCCCCATCGAAATGTTACCTAGCAACCGCCCAGCCCCCAAAAGAGACGATAAAGGTAGGTAAATAAATGTTGAATCAACTGATGTCGATTGAAGAACTGAAATAACTGATAGGGTCAAGAATGAAATTCTTGGATCTGGAAAGATCTTGTGATAACCTCTGGTTTCCGCACTTAGGAGATCTTTTCCACACCCCATTTTTCTCTCCAAGAGTCTCTTGCGGTCACGTTGAGGGCTCATGACTAACAATGTTCAAATCGTGCAAGTATCACGGGTACTTATGACTCAAGAATGGAGCAGATACATTTAGTACCACTCCTACATTTACAACCATTTCCGACACTGTAACAAAGAAGACTCTGTATTATAACTCACTGAGTGTTAGTTTGTTGTTTGTACCTTCACATATGAAAACTTTACTTACGGCTAGTGTTTTGTACACACAGAAAATGGAAAATCAGAACCTTTGTCACAGCCTAATTCGACTTTGGAAAAACTACAGCGTCCACCGAACAGTTCAAGCGGTGCTGTACGTTATGTGCCGGAGCGGAGTAAATTGGTAAAGCTCATGGAAAGAGATATTTTCTTTATTCCAAACGTAAATTTGCAACTACATTCTTTAAAATAGTCGAAAAATCTGATCAACTGAGATACGGCCTCTTGGTGAACCGTTATGATGCGCTTCACATAGGCACTCTCACGTTTTCCTTAAAAAATTCGAATTGTGAATAACCGGTTTCCAGTAAATGCCCATATTGAAGAATCCTTATCAAACTTGCAAAAAGGCCTAACGCGTTAAAGTCTGCACCAAAAAACGAGGTGTTGATTCTCGAACAAAGAACGAGAAAGCTCGGATATATGATGTTCGGATATAAATATACGAGCCAAACAAGAGGAAAGAAAGTTGAATTATTTTTTTCGCCCACTGCACAAAAACCGTACATTCAGCCGATCAATTTCTTTATTGCATGAACGAGAGTGGACGCGATTACATTTGTACAACGTCAGCTCATGAAAAATGGGAAAGGAAAGGAAGCCGTATTTTATTTTTACATGTATTCGTAACATCAGTATGCATATTGTCCTTACCCCTCTCTTGTCATTTCCTAAGGTTCTAACATGTAGCAGTTGTTGAGCAATGTTGAATTGCTTTAGTTGGTGGTTACGTCCGTTAACCGTGACCTCAATGTTAGATTCAGGGTGTTATCGTAAGGTGAAATTAAAAGCTAGTCAATATTTTGGTGAAAAGGTTAAAGAATGGTCGAGAATGGTAATTGCTCATCCCAGTTATTCCTCGATAAAGGGCATAAAAGTAAACGCCTTTTGTATTGCTTTTTAAGGCCAGTTATCATTGACATGTTGTTGTCGTGGATCATAATCACTTTCCCTTTTATACTGTAGCCGTATAGGAATGTCCGTGGACAACTTGTGAGACCAGACGCACTATCACAATCTTCACAAGACTCGCTCGACAAAAAACCGGAAGCACCTCAAAACCAGTGGAAGCCCGTCGGGTCCCAGACCCTCAGCAGGGAATCATCGGATGTTGGTTACGTCACGTACCTGGTCTGATGGCATGGTAATCTGTCTTCCAAACAGGTCTCTATTACTGATTTGAGCCCAAGGCATGTAAACTACATACAAATATCAAGTACAGCTGTTCGCTTCCAACCGAATAAATAATGTGTAGAGCTTTAGAATGGCTTCATTCAAAGAAGGCAACTGACTTTCACATTGCCAGCTTAGAAAATTCCATCTTTGGGACTAAATCACTCAACCGGCCCGATCCCCTGATGATGATACATTTCACTGAGGTAATTGGTGAACTTTGTGCATTCTGAGTGGCTAACCCAACGTAGAATGACAAAGTGATTGTTAACTCTAAACATGTCGAGTATTTGCCGTTACACCGTCGAATATAGCGGCCATCTTAGGGTTTATAACATGTTTTGACTAGTCTAAGAGGGATATAATGCATGTTGACCTTTCCGTAAGTAAAAAATGTCTTTATTCGTAAAAATTGATTTGTGCTGCACATAAAAGCGTTGCAACATCAAAATATATAGTTAAGAAGGAAACCAACTATTGGTTTTCCAAATAAAAAAACGTCAACGGAATAAAGGCAACACACAGTAACTACATCAGTTTGTGATACTTTCGGTTTCTTTCGTACAAACATTTCTGTTTACCATTAGCTTTTTAGTTAATACTAAAATAGAATTCCTAAATATTATTTCTCGGACCGTTTTACACGAATTTGGTACACAGGCGTAGAGAGTTGATTAACTGAACTTCCTTTTTATTGAAGGGAGGGTAGGGGTGGGGGCAGTTGGTATCCGTTTTGTAGGCCGCTGTGAAGAGGAGGCACTTGAAAGAAACTCGACC